TGGAAAAAAAGACGTTTGAAATATTTGGCTGCATAATATGTATTTTTTTGTTTTGCACCTTGTCATTTAATCTCTTTGAAGTCCCAATGGAATATAGTATGAAAATGCTGGTGTTGAGAGGAAGCTTGTATACAAAAGTGTGGCTCTTACCCAAAGCCTGGTTTGAACACAAGAGTTTTTGTTAGATTAAAGACTCCTGGCTGTAAGCCTGGAAACCTCAGATTATTGCCAATTTTTTGAGACATTCTTAAGTTGTGAGAAGTGATGGGACCTCTTGGGAAGATTGAGATAGTTGGATTGTAGCCCTGGATGTTAACTAGTTACAATTAACCTATTTAGGTTTATCTTCATGAGATAAGGTTTCCTATAATATTATATACAAGCTGTTTTAACAAAAATATTCAGTTTGTGGACTGTTGAGAATTTGGAGAGTGTCACTTGCATTTTGTTCAGCAGAAGCGTGTCCAGTTGTATGCTGAGTCTGCAGTCCAAAAAGGGAATTTTTCCAAGCTCAGGAATAACTAGGATCTGGGGTCATTTGAGTTATGTACTTCTGAAGCCAGGTGACCATGACTAGCTAAGTTCCCCTTCTGTCTCTGTCAGACTTCACAGCCCACCACTGCTATGATTCATCCAGTCCCCTGACTTGCCATTTCCCTTCTGTCTCCTTCCACTCCTTATCTGACAATGCTAACCAGCTTCGCAAAAAAACCCACCCATCACCTGTTCTTCGGGGCTCGCTCTCTCCACCCCCTGAAACACAGCTGATCAGTGGGGGCTTTGATGATCGTGGGGAAGCGCTTCCCCACAATCATCGCAAAGCGATTTCCCCCCATTTAAAACATCGTAATGCGATCGCTTTTGCGATCGCAAAAGATGAATCGTTATACGGATTCATCGTTAAACGGGGCACTCGTTAAACGAGGCACCACTGTATTTAGGTTTATCTTCATGAGATAAGGTTTCCTATAATATTATATACAAGCTGTTTTAACAAAAATATTCAGTTTGTGGACTGTTGAGAATTTGGAGAGTGTCACTTGCATTTTGTTCAGCAGAAGCGTGTCCAGTTGTATGCTGAGTACAGTATTGCATTTGTTTGGGAGGATTTATCTCTCCATTCTCTTAAAAGTAGTTTGTGATGTTGAATATATAATCAATATGTTGTGATCAATTCAAAATATTAGCCAAGGATTTATTTTACTCTTTCAAAACACTGAAGAACCTTAACACTTTGAAGACGGATGCAGGAGTGATATAGATATTTCAGAGTCCTATGCATCAGTGTCTCTAATTTGTTTTGTAATAGTGGGAAATATTATCTATAGGACTGAATGAATGCTGTAAATCCCTGGATGCTGTTCTTGCATTTCTAGTTGACCAGGAACATTTGACTTTCCTAGCTCTGTATGATAAACAATAACTGTGAAACAGAAATGCTGAAACAAGAGCTGAATGCAGCTTTGTAAACTGGTTGCTCCATTTGACAGTTATCTCCATATATCTATATACCCAGAAACTAGTTTTAGCAGCTCAGCCAATATCACAATCCTATTTGTACCAATAAGTATTCATATTGTGTTTGGAAGAGCTTACTCCTAGATAGCTATGCATAAGATAGCAGTTTTTGATCCTGAAGGCGGGAGAGATGGAATAACAGTTTGTGTATGGTTTGTTGGCCATGGATTAACATGAGAGAGACAGAGATACTTGGGCTTGTTTGAATGGTGGTTGGCTCACACTGCTGGAAAGTCAGCCCAACCCTCCTCTTAGCTTGGAACTGAAGAATGGGGATTTCTGTATTTTTACTCTGAGCTCTCCAAAGATCAGCACAGTTTGGAGATAATCCCTGCTTGTTCCCTGCCTCAAAGCTAAACGTGAAGGCTACACTTGCCTGACTTTGCCATGGTGAGGCAGGGGAAGGTGTAAGATCTAATTGAAACAGGTAGCTGAAGTTGTACACCTAGCTGGTGTCTTTCTGAAAACAATTGTAGTGACCAATTGACAAGATTTAAGGCTGGCTTTATGAGGCTTGTATCTCACAGCCATGTCTAAGTGAATGTATTTGATCATAGAAAACTTTTTTTGTTTGCCACAGGAAATACAAATTTGCCATAGATTGCCCTGCAAGACAGTTTCCTAAGGGAGGCTGACAGGAGGACTGTAGCCCTGTTAATTCTCTTGGATCTTTTTGTAGCCTTTGATGTCAATTGGCCATGGTATCCTTCTGGGAAGGCTATCAAATTTAGGTATTGGAGGCTCTGGTCTCAGCTGTTTTCATTGGTGGCCAATTCTAGATGGTACAGTTCGATCTACTCTGTTTCCCCGAAAATAAGACGTACCTGAAATATAAGCCCCAGTTAAGTGAAACCCCACCCTCCACCATTGGGCAGCAACCAAAAGAAGATGGCATGACTGCATTTGAATAAACGTAGATTGTTGTACATGAAAAAAATAAAACATCTCCTGAAAATAAGCCCTAATGCATTCTTGGAAGCAAAAATGAATATAAGACCCTGTCTTATTTTCAGGGAAACACGGTACCACTTTGAACCTCTGGTGTGGGATCTCATAGGAATTGACTACCTCCCCAATACTTTTTAATATCTACGTGGAGCTGTTGAGAGACATCATAGGGAGATTTGGGTTTGCTGCCTCTAGTATGCTGATGACACTGATTTTTTTTTCTTGTGTGTGTAAATTTTAGACTTCATAGTTGTCTCTCACCAAATTGTTTGAATGTATGTTGCTATGTGAGATATTATGGGATTTTAATTTTGATCTGTCAACCATCCAAATTAGTGCTTGCACTAATGGTGCAGTATATAGTATCAATCAAATCAATACATACATTACATACAAATATTGCTAATGTGATTGGAGATTTAAATATTCCTGTGATGAGTTAATGCATTTTAATAATAATTGTTGTTTAAATGTTGGGCCAATTAGATGTTGATTTTAAACAGCAGGACACTTAAATGATTTTCTTGACACAGATCTTCAATTTCTACCTCAGTAGCTATGCAAGAAAAAAAAACAGTATATCCATCACATATGAAAGGGTTTTTGTAAAAAAAAATAAATAAGAAAACTCACAATCTGTAATCAAGTCAGCTTTTTCTCCCGTTAAGGGTTTTGCTCTTACTAGTTATGGTAATAATTGAGAAGGGACATAAATTTGAGAGTATAAAAGGTTGTTTCTTTAAAAGCTGTTAGGCTAAAATAATCTGGAGATTTTTTTTGTGAAGCAAGAGGTGGAAAAAACTTTTTAAAATGGCAATGAATTGATAGATTGGTAATATCTGTACAAAACAGAATCAAAATTTAAAATGTTTTGTCATGTCTCTTGCCACGTAATCTATAGCTTTCTCTGTTTCAAGGCCAGTGGGAGTGCTGTCTAAGACAAAGCATGTACCTTGCTTCATTCTAAATCAAGACTCATAATACTCCTATTTTGCTACTTGTGGTAGAAACTACCCTCCCTCATTTAATTAATGACACTTAATTTAAAGTCATCATGGTGATGACAATTTCAGTAATTGCCGACTTCCGACAGAAGCAGGAAATTGACCAGTACAGCAACCGGAAGTCAGTAAAAGCAGAACTGTTTAAAGTTGCCTTTTATTAGTTATCATACCTGTGACATCCAATGTCATTTTAAATTGTTTTTTTATTTATAGATACGTTAGCTAGTCAGTAGTTTGATTGATTGATTTGTTTGTTTGTTTGTATTTGTATACTGTTTTCTATTTATTGCTTCTTTGTTGCATGCTTAAGTTGAAATAATACACAAATTATTCTTAAATAAAATCCTACTTCAATTCTGACCCACTGGCTATATAGCTGTTGGCATAAGTAATGCAAGTTGAGCATGCCTATCACATATAAGAAGGAAACAAATTTAGACCTATGTATAAAAGTTTGCCCTGAGATAAAGCATTTGTGATGCTATTTTCAAGCATAGACCATTTTGGAGTATAGGCCACTGATACCAATAATTTTGTGGCCATAGCCTTCAAGGTGAAATGCTAAAAGTGAAATTCTATGATGGTCGCACTAACACTAATTTTAAATGTGTCATAGCAAAGAGATATAAAATGAGTTTCTTAGATTTGTGAATTTTTAAAAAAAGAAAGTGATTGAACCTGATACCTTCTGTATGCAAAGCACATGCTGTCCCACTGAGTTATGCCCCTTGCGTTGATCTATAATCTCTACTTTGCTTTCCTGGAGTTTCCCCACTGTCAGTTTCCTTATAAAAGCATTGTTGCCAACAGTGCATTGTAACAGAGTCTGTGAGTTTTAATGGCATTTAACTGAATTGTTTTGCTGCAGGCAGTAAAGACCTGGTATTTTCTAAAATGTGATGATTCATTTTCAAAAAGAGTACATGTGTTTCTACTTGTCCATGGTTTATGATGCTAGTGTCTTGTGCCCAAGGATGCAGGCTTAAAATCTTTTCCCCATTTCACTCACATAGTCTGTCTTCACTGTTTTTTGGTAGAGTGAAAGTGCCTTAAGGAAAGTAGTGCCTTTATGTTATATATATATACAGGATCATACATGCTTCTACAATATAAAGCACACTTTGTAGGTTTAGAGGATATAGTCATTGACTCCCAAGTGCCTTTGTTCTTCACAGAGCAGATACGTTTAGCCTGTACTCCTTGTATCTGTAAGAATCATAAAGCTGAAAAATGAAAAATAAATTCTAAGAACTGGAACTTCCCCAAATGTCCTGTAGCCCTTTATGCATCAACCTCTGCTGAGCAAGATATGAGTTGATGCAGGTTTTATCAGTCAAAGTAGTTAATTAACTTACTGTAAAAAATTTTGGGTGTTTTTTTTTGTCGTAAAAGTAATTTAACACTTGCAGATCTGTTAACAAACAGCTCATGGTGAGGAAAATATGTTTTCTCACTTCAGTTAAATAGGGCATTGACATAACTGTGTAATTAAAAAAATATACTAATGATTTTTATGTTTATTTTTGTCAGACATGGAGGCAAAGAACCTGCTTGACCTGTGTGTTAAATTTCATAATGGATTATGGGATCATGCACTGATGAGCCAGCAAGTGGAATGCCTGTGTGACTGAAGAAAATGGGTGCTAATGCTTCGAACTACCCTCATTCGTGTTCCCCAAGGGTAGGGGGAAATTCTCAGGCACAACAGACGTTCATAGGTAAGAATTTATATTTTTCCTGTCTTGGGAGTTTTAATTCATATATTTCCATATCCTATGTTTACTTGCAGTATCTGTCATGGAGTTGCCATTGTTTGATAAACAGATTGGTTTGTGTAATTGCCACTGAATAGCACTCAATATTGCTAAAGCTGCCATGGCATTGCCATTTTTACCTGCTTTATCTTTTCATGCTGTAACAATTTTTCAAGTTTCCAGTTTTTACCCAGTTCTCAACTAAATTTGCAGTATCTGTTAGTTTTGCATGGGAGTTGCATTTGATCTTGGTGACCTGTAATTCCTGCTCTTTGTGAAGCTCACTGGCTACTATTTTGCAAGTTTCTCAGACTTTCTTTGAAGGGCTTGAGGACATAACAAAGGACACAACATTATAAACAGTATGGAAGAAATGAGTGAATGGTAAATTTTATCCTCTTTATTACTACAGCCTGTGCTGAAGTTGATCTGTGCTGAGCTCAAGCTAAATCACCTTTAACATGTAGTTTTCATTTGAATCTTTAAAAAAACATAGCTAGAATTAGGACTGTGACAAATGATGAAGTCATATAGTGAATAGACTATTATGTTGTAAATAATATTTGGTCTGTTCAATATAATAGTAACCAGTCATATTGATCAAACTGGGGTTTCACTGGAATATGTCATGCATTCCGTAGCTTTTTTTCAAAAGCCTTTGGTGGCAAAATCTCAAGGTGATCTTAGCATTTAGTTAGCTGAACAATGCTCTGTTTTTACATATGGCTGATAAACTGATTTATTGTGAGTGTGAGACTTATGCCTTCTCCCAGCATTCACATACTCCCTAGTTCTTTCAACATGACCTGAGAGCGTGATAGAAGCTGTTATGTCCCTTGTAGATTGAATGTACTTGAACCTAGACCAAATATGGCAGCCCTACTTGTGTTCTTTGAAACAGACGGCAGTATGTCTTTTGACCTCATTTATAGTCTTTTCTGTGACTCTAAATTCCTTTCTTTTTGGAAATTTAAAACAAACAACAGTGTAATTCTTACAGAGAAAACAAACAAAATGCAGAGTTTGGAAATGCATCTTTCTTCTTCGTGCTATCTTTGTATGCACAGAAAATGGCTGTGTGTGCCTATGTGACACTGCTTCAGAAAGTTCTAGGGCTTCAAAAACTAAAATGCCTCAGCCTATACAGTCTGTTGACAGCGCTGAGGATGCAACAGTTTTGGATCCTCAGTTGTCAATCTGAGGGTTTACCTCTCACTACTGATGCCCAGTATACAGTCTTAGTTTCAGAGGGCAAATGCCTGAGCCCCTCTTTGCAGAGTGTTGCTGCCTTACTGAGAACACCATTGCCTCGGAGCCTGCTAGAAGATCAGTCTTTGCTTCCACTCTCTGACAATGAACGGTGGTCAAAATTGAGATCCTTCTCCCTTACTCAATCGTCTCCACAACTGAGACACCATGGTAGGGAGAACAGGTGCTTAGGTCAAGTATTAATGGATGAGTTTCAATTGTTGAGACCTGAGGATGTGGACAGGATGCTTGGAT